TATGAGGGATCAGTACTGAGATCAAGGATAGGAAGTATAGGGCTAATAGAAGTTAAATTTAGGGTCTGGGACAGTTAGTTGTCGTGTATTTTCTACTCTTTTCAAAAATATGACAACGCGCTCCTCCTCCTCCATCTCATCTTGTTAGGAACTGACGTGAGGGGGGTACCTGACCAAGTGTTGACGAGTCGGGAGTGAGAATGGGTTGACAGTGCTTACTACTAAACACAACATTATAAGTCTAACTATCTTCTATTTAAGCAGAGATAAATACAAGGCATGCCCTTTTCTCCTATTCCCTGAAAAGGAGGCAACATAAAAAGAAGGTTAAAGAGAACGAGTGACACAAATGATGAAAAATTACACAAAGATGGCACTGATGTGATTTTACATAATACAGCAAAAGTGAATTTTAAATATAGCAACTGACAAACAATATATTTGTTTACAATGTAACATTATGGGCAGAAATGACAACTTGGGGGCAAAAGCAGCTATAAAACTCATTTATACTGCAGGAGGTCTATCATTATTGAGTATAACTGAGTTTAGACACGAGTAATACAGCTGGCAGTAAAAACAGCTTGATCTTTTCTCCCTCTGGGTAAACATTTGGAAAAAACTAAATCCAAATCTAAAACTAAATCCAATCGCTGGCTGCGGATTGTCTCCCAGCAGTTTCGATGTGGATTTTGATTGATTATAATCTACAGAAAATAGCTGTGGTGATCACGAAAGCAGCCCAAAGAGATCAGAAACAATTTGTTGGCTAAAGCAGCAGCGTGTTGGAGTTCCTTTTTTTTATCCCGAGGCTAGGAAGAGGGGGGAAACTGAAAAAGACACGTGCAGATGGTAGAGAGGCAGAAAGTCACAGCCATGTTGTTATCAGGCAACTGTGACTGAGACCTGGAAGTGCCACTGCTCATTAGTGAAACAAGTTTATTCGGCCAGAAACTCGACAGAAAGCTGCAAAGAGGAGGGAAAAAAGAAAGCCGAGGAGAGGAAAATRGAAAAAGGCGAGCTGAGGAGGAGAAGACACGATAAGAGAAAGTGTTGAGAACGGAATAAGCTGATAAACTGTGTTTAAATGCCTTTGTGTAAAGCATTTTAAGGAGAAACTCTCAGTTTGTTAGAACATAACCAGTTTTTGGCCAGAGTTACAAGTAGAGATCGAYCGATACAGGTTTTTGAAGGCCGATACCGATGCCAATTTTTTAAACATCAGTCTAACCGATACGCGATATGTGCAGCCGATATTTTTTGGCTGATTTTTTGAAGCCGATACTACTTTTTC